TATTATTATCTGTTATTTGTGTACTTTAAGAAACTGTAATCACATTATTTCCATTTATTCGATAAATATTTAAACATAAATCATGAATTTTTTTTCCAATAAAAATATTATCATTTTCATGAAAATTCAATAAAATTTCTAATATTTAGATTAATAATTTCATATATAATGACAATAAGTGAAAAAGATCTAGAATTTAAACATATTAACTAAAATTAAAGTGTATCAATTGAGTGTAGGCTGTCATTGTTAAAGACAGCGGATGAGGTTGCACAATAACTTCGGAAATAATTGAAACTAGACGTTATCTAACAGTTGGATGCTAACGCATTGGTCTACTAGAAGTTGATACGTGCTGGGGATGTTACATCCTCAGAACTCGCTTGATAAATGCCTTATTTCGCCAGCATTAGCTGATCAGCTGACCTTGAGATTTCATTTCCCACCAGGAAAATACATGGCTGTAATTGGCTGCTGTGTGTGTATTTTAGTGCGCTTTTTTGTGACTGTCCCAACGACGTTTCTATGATGTATAAATAAACGAGATTTGTGTGCTTGATTGTATTGTGATTGCTGGGTGTTTGTAGAATATACTTTCTACGCCTACCAAGTCTTCTGTTTTGCAGTTTGGGATTCAAGGTAGCCTACCTGGATGCTGGTTCATCACTGTCTCGTTCGCGTTTATCGACTAAGGTGAATTCGTAATAGCTTCAAGCGTACCTAGTGACGAACATAACAACACGCCAGACCGATGGTTACGTGCATGGATTGTGAAAGCACAACTACTGATGAGTTACATACTAGGACAAACTGGCTATTCACTAGTTAGTACTTCAAGCGTTCTACCAAATGATCGATTCATAATCTCAATCAAAAAAAAAATACAATACACGTTGTAATTTAAAAGATTCATGTTTTTTAATGTAAAAATGGATGGTCGATTAAAAAAAAGCAAAACATCTCAATGGGAATTCCCAACAAAAAAGCAAAAATGAGAAATATTACTCTGATTTTTATATGTGTATTTATTTCCCTAGTGATTTATATATGACAGATTAAGATTAGTAGATTGATTTTTGATCAAAATATTCAGTAAAAATAGCAATGGAACTATTATAATAACATCTAACCAATCTACAACAACTGGTTATGAATAAAATTACTACTAACACCTATTTTGCATTAAAATATGCACATCACTTAGTTCTGTATATATTCAGTTACATAATGAAAATGTGTTGTTAGTAGATATATTTCATTAAGGGGTTGTGAAGATTGTTAAGTTACACATATTTGAAACCATGAATCGATCATTGTTGTTAGACCACCATTAGAAACCTGGACGCACTGAAATACGGCCGTTCCGTTCTGGTATGGGACTCATCAGTGGCAGTGCGCATCCACGACTCCTGCACCCCGTAGGATTAGAACCCAGGACCTTCGGTCTTGTGCGCGAATGCCCTAACCGTTAGACCACTGAGCCGGTATCTAACGGCCGTCCAGTTCATCCAGGTTTCTAATGGTGGTCTAACATTGATCGATTCATGTTTACAAAAATGTGTAATTATATTTCAGTATGTAATCATTCTATTACATTCTGATAATGATTATTTTGCTTAGTTTTAACATGTATGTATTCAGCATTTTTTTTGGGTGGTCTTTTTAGAATATTTGCGCTATTTGTTTCTTGAAATCAAAACATCGCAACAAACGATCTATTTCTGTATGTTTTAATATGTAATAATTTATGTCTGTTAATCGCATAATCTATTCAGGTACGTTGTAATAGAGTTATGGTGTTACTTACCCGTTCCGTTTTCTTTCTATTGCAAGACGATCAAACATAAACGCTTTGGAAGTTGAAGAACAAGCTCTGCGTCCTCTGAACTTACAGGATGACTCATAAGACTTTGATAAACAAGCAATCTGTTTTCTGTACAAAAGCCGCGTTATTAAATTTTTAAAAGTAAAGAGTATCGCGGTTGCCACTTCGTGTTCTCTCTTGGTGTGAAGTGCTTAGCTAATCGTGTGTGTTGTGATTTTATAGCTTATTCACCCTTCAGTGACTGCTGATTACACGTGTTACGATGTATATAAACTTTACGAGCTATCTTTGTACAAGGTACAAAATGTACAATATTAGAAAAGGTAATGGCTGGCAATCTACTAAGAAAAGAATGAACAGTAATAAAATGTTAATTCTTACACTGTTTACTCCTAGCTGTCAATCACTCATTGTTTTGTAATGAAATATTCCGTGCTGAGAATTCTATATTGTACTAAACATGTAACATTGAATAAAAACTATTATTATTATTATTATTATAAAGTCCGTTTGAAGTTAGAATTATTTAAAAGTGTAATTATTAACCATTGGAAAAGAAATCTGTTTATGAAAGGTACTTGATATACTTGGAGCTATTACGAGTTCAGCTTACTTGGCAAACGGAACGACGATCAATAATTCAGTAACGTGATAAGCTACTCTAATTCAACCGTCACAGGCCTCACTAACTGGAGGAAAAAGTCTTGATAAAACTTAGAGGATGTATTCTACAAGCATCCAAAATACGAGCTCGATAAGTACACAAATCAAGCTTATTTATACAATGATAAAATGACCTTGGTGAGAGCCACAAAATAGCATACTAAAATAATACATCAACCAAAGACACTTAAGGATTTCCCGAGTGGGAAATGCAAGCTGAAGGTCAAAATAAGCGTCTCTAGCGCGAAAACTTGAAGTTCAAAATTTCAAAATTAGGACTGTTTCCAAGTGCGTTTTGGAGATCTAACGTCCCCAACAGTACTATTGTTCATGTATGATATATATATATATATATATATATATATATTCTTTAAACCTTATATTTTGTTAGCTTAATAGTTTTCAGTTGGTTTCACAACAATGACGAGGCAACAAAGTTAATACTGTTTCAAAATCAAACATTCACTTATTATCGGTAACATTGATTTCTCATGAAAAAAGGATACACTAATCATCATTCCTAATACTACTACTACTACTACTACTACTACTACTACTACTACTACTACTACTACTACTACTACTACTACTACCACTACCACTACTACTACTACTACTACTACTACTACTACTACTACTACCAATACTACTACTACTACCAATACTACTACTACTACCAATACTGCTACTACTACCAATACTACTACCAATACTACTCTGGTGTGAGCTACTTATAAGTAGTATATGACGCGTGATGTCTGGCAGCAGAAGATAGGGGAAGATCAAGAAAGGAAGAGTGGGAACACAATGGAATTTGTATGAAACGCATTCATAGTGAAATGTCAGACAATGGACTGATGATTGATTGAAGATTTGCAAATTAACGGTCATGATATGGTTTTCCTATTTTACTGAGTAACTCTGCTTATAACTGCTAGTAACTGCTAATAACACTACTACTACTACCACTAGTTCTACTACAAATCAAACTACTACTATTACTATTACTATTATTATTATTACTACTACTACTACTGTGGTGCTGTGTTGCGAACTACTTATAAGTAGTATATAGCGTGAGTGTCAACGTAAAGTCTGGTAGCATAATATGGGGGGAAGATCAAGAAAGGAAGAGTCAGAAAACAATGGAATTTGTATGAAACGCATGAAGAGTGACAATGGATTGATGTTTGGCAACAGAAACAGTCCAGTTCCATAGGATGAACTGATCTTTTGCAAATGAACGATTTACGATATGGTTTTCCGATTTTACTGAGTAACTCTGTAATTTTCGTTAAATACAATTCGGTTGCCCCCACCTGTGTTCTCATTCACTACACTACTACTACCACTATTTCTACTATTAGTCACACTACTACTGCTACTACTACTACTACTACTACTACTACTACTACTACTACTTCGTCACAAACTAAACTACACAAAATATTTGCAAGTTAGACATTCACAAAAAAGAAAGAGTGAAAACGTCTTGCTAAAATTAGGTAAAACTTTGAAACTAGTTCAGATGAAATGAATTCTCCAGAGGCAAAAAAAATAATAGTAAAAGATCTTTACCATTCTCCCTCTCCTTCTTATCTATCCAGTTTCTGATCATATTCAAAGACAAACAAAACAGCGAACTAATTTCACTTGCCATGTAGTTATTTATTTATTTCGGTAAATATAAATTTTTTCTTACGAAAACCCCGACCGAAGCTGCTACCTTGACGTGGTGGTCGGGCTTGCCTATCGTGATGACTCAGCTGAGCTATACTGGCTGGAACATATGTTCCTGAAGGTTCTACCATGCCAGGCAGGTTGATTGGAGAACGATGAGACTAAAAGCAGCTACTCAAGGTCTGCTGACTGCAGAGGGGTGTGACAGCAGTGAGGTGTTTCCCTCGGACAATCAGCATCTGCAGCGATGCTGCCTTCTCACAAGGAAGGAAGGGTTAGAAAAGGTCGACCCTAAAAATGTCACACCTCACCCTACCTCACGGATTTCCGTCTCCGTCAGTAAGAGTGCCCACTAAGGGCTTTTAAGAGCGGAGCTAATACTCAAAAAACCTTTAATAAAAAGGCCGTGCATGACTGGCCTCAAGCCGTTGTTCGTTGGGCTCTGCGGTCACGCTCCTAGGTCGTTAAGACCAACACTAATCTACCTTCTTTTTCAGGTTACTCTGTCTGTCTGTCTTACGAAAACATTTCTTATCTGTCTATCTATCCTGTTTGTGATTATTAATTCTATTACATTAAAAAAGAGAGAGGAAGAAAAGTGGATACCACATAAGATTGACGATGAGAAATGTTTGACTGATAGACAAAGTAAAAGCAGAAAGAAAATGACAATAAAAATGTATGTCGTATTCATTTTTCAGTGAATTAAAATTATCCTCTCTTTCGAAATATTATTATTACTATTATTAATATGATTATCGTTATTGGTAATGAACGAAAAGAGTAAGACCAGATGGAATAAGCAATTTAATTGAAGAAAGCACAATTCACTAGTAAAATGTTTACATTTTGTTGTGTTCAAACTTCCATTTGCAAAACAAGCAGATTATCGACTGTCTTGGTACACAGGTATTCTAGTTATCAGGACACTCTGAATGCGCAATATATCTGGATCCGACACTCTTCTCTTTAGTAGTAACTTTTGGACGATACTTCACTGCACTCTACTTATATGTCACGTTGAGAGTAGTATACACAACTCATATACACTCATACTAATCTTAGTGTTACTTTGATTATGCGGTGAAGCTATTATTATTTGAGGACCAGCAATTTTTAATAATGTTATCGTTTCTTTCATTATTGTACACGCAACAACAAATGCATGAGAAGACGACTAATGTAGCAGCAACAGCAGGTTTCAACATACATAAATGGAGAAGCAAGGTTGTCCGATACAACACAACATGAGACAACCATATCACTCTGGATGGAGATGCTTTGGAGGATGTTAACACCTTTACAAATCTAGGAAGCATCATTGACGAGCGAGGTGGATCCGATCCAGATGTAAAGTCACGGATTGGCAAATTGGCATTTCTACAACTGAAGTACATCTGGAACTCAAAACAACAATCAACCAACACCAAAATCAGGATTTTCAATACAAGTGGCTGGAAAGTTCTACTGTATGGGGGAGAAACTTGGAGAAATACGAAAGCCATCTACCAGAAGATACAATCATTCATTAACAGTTGTCTACGCAAAATATTTCGGATCCGTCGGCCAGATACTATCAGCAACAACCTGTTGTGGGAGAGAACAAACCAGATTCCAGTGGAGGAATAAATCAGGAAGAAGCGGTGGAAGTGGATAGGACATAGATAGCAGAAATCACCCAACTGCGTCACAAGACAAGCCCTCACATGGAACCTCCAAGGTAAAAGGAAAAGAGGAAGGCTAAGAAACATATTGTGCAGAGAAATAGAGAAGGATATAAGAAGAATGAACAAAAATTGGATAGAATTGGAAAGAGAAGCTCAGGACAGAGTAGGTTGGAGAACACTGGTCAGTGGCCTATGCTTGATTTGGGGTAACAGGTGTAAGTTAGTAAGTAAGTAATCTCTATCCTTATTGTTTTAAATGATGAGAACGAATGATCATGTTTGCATGTTATACACACATATGTGAAAATAAATAAAACATCTTTAGAGCTTATGTGATTATTTAAATTGATTGATTGAATACTACAAAACAAGATTTGAAATAGCTTCCAGATTAAAACTCCCTTTAGTTAGGTGTGTGTGTGTGTGTCTATGTGTGCATGTAAATGACCTGTTTTCTTAACACCTTTGTATGACAATCAGTGATGAATAGATTTTAATCTTCCAGTATACATATTAGATTCGAAATAAATGAATCATTTAGAGCAGAAGAGATTAATTCCACAATTGATAGTTAATCTCTCCTACTTTATTTCCTAATGATTGGATCTTGAAACTTATATGTCAAAAATAGCTTATTGATAAATGTTTTAACCATAGCATAGTTTGAAGACACCTTGGTAATCCTTACAGTTAACGATTGGAGGGGGGGGGGTAACAGGAGTAAGCAAATAAGTAAGTCGGTAAGTAATCTCTTCAGGTCCTAGATTGAAATAGCTTACAATTAAGATGGTAGATAAGTATCATACATAGAACTGGCATAATAAGAAGTATGTGTTTCAAGTCCATATTACAGAATCCTAAAGAAAGAGGCTTTAGTGAATGTTTTGAATCCGACAATAATGATTACATTGATAGAAGTTTCATACTATCATAGGTATCATATAAATTAAGGATAACAAGGAAGATAGAGGAAATGAAACACTTCACTAAGTGATATAAATAGTTTGATATTACTTACATTTATTGGTATTATATGGCATATAACAACTTAATATTCTCAAATTCAGTGTTTTCCCAATTAATATTTAACAAAAAGCATTGAGTGTGTTTTACATAAATGTATCAACTTAGATTCGTTTAGATAAATCGTTTACAATTTCAGTAGTGTTGGGGATGTTAGATCCCTAGAACTCACTTGATAAAGATTTTCATTTTGGATTTTATGTTTTAGCGCATAGACTGATCAGTGAACCTTGAGATTACATTTCCCACCAGGAAAATCCTCCACTTTTACTGTCTGATGGATTATTTCAGTACTTTATTTTTGTGATTCTACCAAGGACGTTTCTATGATGTATAAATAAACTCGATTTGTATGCTTGAAATCATTATATTTTCCAGGTGCCTGTAGAATACACTTGTAAAGACTTCTTCCTCTACTTAGTGGGGCCTTGGTTCGCTCAGATTAGAGCAGCCTATCGTGTCCATGCATCATTTACCTTCGCTTTCGTTTTGCCAAGTAAGGTGAACTAGTGCAGTGAAGGAGAACACAGATAAGGGCAACCGAATTGTATTTTTCGCAAATTACAGAGTTACTCAGTAAAATAGGAAAACCATATCGTAACCGTTAATTTGCAAATCTTCAATCCATCATCAATCCATTGTCTGACATTTCACTTATTCATGCGTTTCATACAAATTCCATTGTGTTCTAACTCTTCCTTTCTTGATCTTCCCCCATCTTCTGCTGCCAGACATTACGTTTTTTTACTCGCGTTATATACTACTTATAAGTAGCGCGCACCACAGTAGCAATAACATTCAAGCATATCAATTGACTAGTGTAACAATTAGTTACACTTGTGAGAAGTATACTGCTGAATACATCTTTTCATAATATATATGACTAATCTTCCTCATTATCAGTCAACATCAGTCGACCGAAAAAAACAGATTTGAACCATAATATTCTCAAACAAGCAATTTACTAAGCAAACATCATTGACCAGTTCAACCAATCCACAATCAAAAACATCATGTAACATATTTTTCCAAATAAAAATTTCATATACTTAAATGTTTTTCACTTGAGGCCTAGTGATGATACACTAGTCAGCTGATCAAAGATTGAACATTGAACCTACAACACTTGACTCATTGAAATTTGAATGAATTTTAAACAAATAATCTACACTAGTCTACAACTGTAACAACAAAAAAAAGAAAAGACAAATTAACTTCTTCAGATATTGGATGGAACACACACACCAAATACTGATTAATAATTATTTTTTTATTTAAATTAATTATTTTTTATTTATTTTATTTTATTATATTTTAATTAATTAATAAATCCATTTCCTATCAGAGAAAAA